AAAAAAAAACTTCTCATAAAGAAAAGCCCAGGACCAAATGTCTTCTATGAAATGAATAGCAATTCTATCAAATGTTTAAAGAATTAACACCAATTTTCATAAACTCTTACCAGAAAAGGGCCAGGAGCTGTGGCTCATGCCTGTAATCCCAGCACTCTGGGAGGCAGAGGTGGGAGGATGGCTTGAGGTCAGGAGTTCAAGACCAGCCTGGCCGACACAGCAAAACACCATCTCTACTAAAAATTTAAAAAATTAGCCAAGCATAGTGCTGTGCGCCTGTAATCCCAGCTACTTGGGAGGCTGAGGCAGGAGAATCACATGGACCCAGGAGGCGGAGGTACAGTGAGCTGAGATCACACCACTGCACTCCAGCCTGGGAGACAGAGCGAGATTCCGTCTCAAAACAAACAATCAAACAAATAAAAAACAACAAGAACAACAACAACAGAAGAAGAGGCAATACTTTTCAACCATTCTACAAGGTCAGTATTACCTTGATGCTAAGTTAGACAAAGACACCTTAAGAAAATAAAACTACACACCCAAATTCCTTGTGAAGAGAGACACAAAAATTTTTCAACAAAACACTAGCAAACAGAATCCAGCAACATATAAAAAGGATATATATACATCATGACCGAGTGGGATTTTTTCCCAGGAATGCAAGATTCCTTCAACATACAAAAATAAATCAATGTAACACATCAATCATATTAATAGAACACATAACAAAACCATATGCTTGTATAAATAGATGGAGAAAAACAATCTGATAAAATCCAACACCTTTTCATAATAAACACTCGATGAACTAGGGAGGGAAGGGAACTTCTTCAACTTGATAAAAAGCATCTACAAAAAATCCCCTCAACTAATATCGTAACATACCAAATGGTAAAAGACTAAAAGCTTTCCCCTAAGATGAGGAGCAAGGCAAGCATGTCTGCTGTCTCCAAGTCTATTCAACCCCGTACTGCAGGTTCTAGCCAAGGCAAATAGGCAAGAAAAGACATGAAAGGCACCCAGATGACCCTGCAATTCCACTTGTAGGTATATACCCAAGGGAACTGAAAGCATATGTTCACACAAGAAGTTTGACATCTATGCTCATAGCAGCATTACTCAGAACAGCCAAAAGTTGGAAGCAACCCAGATGTCCACCATCTGATGAATGGACAAACGAAATGTGGTAAG